GTTTTTTCAGGACAGGGGCAGCATGGACATGTTTGTTGGCAGTAGGGAATGAGCCAGAAAAGAGGGAGATTGAAAATAAGTGAAAGAGTTGGGGTTGATGGAGGGAGTAATTTGTTGGAGAGATGGGATATGATAAGATCTCTTGAACAAGTAGGGGTGTAGCATTAGTACAGGAGTAAGGCCACTTCGTCATTTGAGACGGGTGAATGGGGAGAGTGGCAGAAGACACATTTGATATGTGTGTACATATACGTGTACATGTGCATGTTAGAACCAGAAGGTACTTTGAAAATTATTTAACTCCTTAATTTCACAAATGAGGAAACTGAGACCCAGTGAGAGGAAATGACTTGCCAAGACCACATCTTTGCGTCAGTAGGATTGAGGACTAAAGCCTAGTTTTCTTGATCCTTAGGCAAGTCTTTTCATTGTGCCATTGTGCCATTTTGAGTCATAATTCTCAGAAACTTTCCTGGGCGTGAAATTTCTTAGTTATGCCTCAGTTCTCACCTCAAATATAGCACCACATTGGTTCAAAGGTTACCTTCTGCCTGAAGCCTTTCTAGATCCACTCCATTGGTAGCATCTTTGCCTTGAAATTACCTTGAATGTACTTTATATTTTTATGTGTAAACGTTGTTCTCCAGAATTTAAGGGATGTTAGCTTCTTGAGTGCAAGGACTATTTCAGTCAGTCAACATTTATGTTATAAAGTATTTACTATGTGCTAGATACTGAGTGAAGCTCTGGGGATACAAAGAAAGGCAAAATAAAAACTCAGAAAAACTGCATTAGAAACAGTTACCAATCCCCACTATAATGCCTAGCACTGTAGGCACTTAAATACTTGATTCGTTGATAAATCATGTAGGAGAAAACCTAGGACAGAGGGAACTCTTGAATTTTCCCTAGTCTGGTCCCCGGGGAGACCAGTGGAGCATCACAGAATCTCAGATTTGGAAGGGACCTCAGAGACTTGAGTCTAATCCAAAATTAAGCAAAAAGTTTTTCTACAACGTATTTCCACTCACCACCTCTCAGTCATTGGAATTTAGATATGTGACCCAACTATGAGACAACAGAAGACTTCCCTGAGAGTATTAGGGAGCTGTTTCTACCTCCATCCTTCGTTCACTGTTTGGCTACAATTTCATTGAGAACACTTTTATTAGTTCTTATTAACATAGAATTTAAAAAAAAGCTCTCGTAAAATATGATGATTGTAAGCATTGTCTGCAAAGTGATTTGTGAGAAGTTGATAGGTTTATTAATGATAAATCTATTTAAGAGCCTGTTGGAATCCTGAATAATTTCCATTCTTTCATAGGAGTTTACAACTAATGGAAATGTGGGAAAATTATACTTGATATGTTTGAATTGTAACCCAAGTACTTTAAAAATTCAAGTGTATAATACTATGAGCAAATGTTTTTACACGTCTATATTTGTGGTATGTAAGTTTGGATTGACTTGATTTTGTCAGAGATACAACTCTTTTTTTGGACTTACTTAAAAGAGGTAGTAAGGATAAAATAGGAATTTGCATTTGACCAACGTAAGGTTCATTAGTTGAAAATGTCTTTTAATAAAAGTTTTGTTGTATTTTAAAGTTTGAGTAAATATTCTAGCCAGATTGTCCTACTTGCTGTTTTCCTAACTCCAGCATTTGATGTCTTCATGCCTTTGTAAAGGCTGCCTCCATTGCTGGAATGTGTGCCCATATCACATCAGTATTTAAATCCCTGGTTTTAAGCTCGTATGCTTTCTTCAGGGAAAAACCTTTCCTGATCCCTTTAACATTTACTTAGTTGTGTATGCTGGGCCGATCACTTAACTTCTGTGCCTCAGTTTCCTTATCTGTAATATGGGGATTATAATAACACGTACATCACTGGGATGTTGTGAGGATCAAATGAGATAACGTATAAAGTCATTTGTAAACTTCAGAGCACTGCATGTTAGCTATCATTATGTTAGACACTTAAATGCTTTTTAGTATTCTATTATATTCTAGTTGTAGTAAAATTTATCTTACCTTCAAGAGTCAATTTCAATATGTGAGCAAAGCCTTTTAATGATGGGGAATAAGTATTTATCCAGTGCTTATGTGCCAAGAATTGTTCTAAGTGCTTTATAAATATTGTCTCATTTGATTACCAAGCAAACTATTTTCTTTCTAAGACAGGTAAATATGGTGTTCTGGTTAATGGCCTTCTTGCTGTTTCTTAAACAAAACACTCCATTTTCCAACTCTGTACATTTTTGCTGGCTAACTCCCATGCTTGATATATACTTCCTCATCTTGGCCTCTTAGCTTTCCTGACTTCCTTCAAGTCTGAGCTAAAATCTCACCTTCTAGAGGAAGCCTTTCTTAATCCTCCTTAACTCTAGTGCCTTCCTTGTGTTGATTTTTTCCAATTTATCCTGTATATAGCTTGTTTGTGCATAGTTGTTTCCGTGTTTTCTCCTCAATTAGCTTGTGAACTACTAGAGAGAAAGGACTGTCTTCCTTAGAACAATTTCTGGCTTATAGTGGATGCTTATAAATGTTTATTGAATAACTGACTGAAATATACTATTGTCAGTTAACATAGTTCTTTAAGGTTTGCACAATCCTTTACATTCATTCTGGTATTTGAGCCTCATAACACTCATAATAGCACCTTTTCCAAACCTTTTCATTTTTTCTCAATCCTTCAATGGCTCCCACTCTTCTCATTATCTGAGCTGAAAACCTTGCCTCACATTTCCCTAAAAAAATTGAGAGTTCCTTCTGCCCACCTCCTCAAATCATCCTACTCATATGTTTTCTGGCACTATCTCCTCCTTCCCCTTTCTCATATGACAAGATACCCTTCTTGCTAATGCCAACCCCTCTACATGCACAAATCATTCAATTACATCCCATCTTTTCTAGCAGATTGCCTTGTCTATCATCCCCACTCTCTTATTAATTTTTCATCTCTTCCTATTTAATGGCTCTTTCCCTACTTCCTACTAACTCATCTCTTTCCTGTCCCCAAAAAAACCCTCCTCTCGTGATCTGTCCCACCCATGCTAGCTGTTGTCTTAAATCTTTCCTCCCTTTTGTGGCTTAATTTGAGAATGCTGCCTACAATTGGTGCATTTACTTCCTCTTTTTTTGCCTTCTTAACTTTGGTTCTCTGAAGTTTTCTTCAAACTTCATCATTTAACTGAATTGATTTTTTTTCCAGAGTTACCAACAATTTTTTAATTGTCAAAGCAGGTCGCATTTTCTTATCTAGCCTTTAACACTGGAGAGATCACCCTCTTCACCTCAGTATTCTATTCTCGCTAATATTTCATAACACTGCTGTCACCTGTTTCTGTTACTACCTAGCTAACAATTCCTTCTTAGGCTGCTTGATCTTTGTCCAGGTCCTATCCACTAACTTAAGGCTCTGTCTTGGGCCCTCTTCTCCCCCTATTTTATTTGACTTGATGATTTCATCACTTCCCATGGATTCATTATCTCATGCCTGAATTGTAGCAGTAGCCTTCTTAGTTAGTTTCTCTGTATCCTTCACTGAGCTATCTAATTGATTTTTCTAAAGAGAAGGTCTGACCATGTCAAACTCTTGTTTAGTAAATTTAAGTGGCTCTCTATTCTCTCTATTGTTATTATTATTTTTGGTATCACAGCCCTTTATAATCTATACCTTTCCTACCTTTACAGTCTTCTTATTCCTTATTTCCTTACCCCAGGTACTCCGGGTTCCATGACTGTTGCCTCCTTGTTGTTCCTTGATTAAGGCACATTTCCTGAATTCAGATAGTTTCACCATACTTTTTCATCTCTGGTCCCCTCTCCAGAATTTTCTCCTTTATCGCCTCCTCTAGGATTCCTTGAAGTTCTAGCTAAAAGCTTGCCTTTTACAAGAAGTCTGTCCCAATCCCCCTTTAATTATAATTTTTCCCCACTATTGCTTATCTCCAATTTATTCTCTATGTATCTTGTTTGTACTTAGTTGTTTGTATGTTTTTTCCCCAATGAGCTGTGAGCTCCTTGAGAGCAGGGATTGGTTTTTGTCTTTATATCCCCAGTACTTTGCATTGTGCCTGGCACCTAGTAGGAGCTTTGACCAACTGACTGACAGTACTTTTATGAAGAAGATTGTACAGATATTATTTTCGCCATTTTACAGGACGAGGAACTCAGGAAGATCAAAACGTACCGCTAATAAGTAGTGGAAGTAGAATTGGAGCCTGGATCATCTGACTTCCAATCCAGTTCTTTCCTTATCTACTATTCATACTGCTTCTCAAAACAATAGTTAAAGGAGAGATAGTGTAAATATTATGGGTGGCTTAATGATCAAAAAAATAGAATACAACTAAAATATAATGCTTTTTAAGATTTACAAAGAACTTAACATATCATTTTTAACATATCATTTGACCCTATAGCAACCCTTTAAGTTAGGTGCTATTTTTCTGCCCGTCTTATAGGGGAGGAACCTGATGCTTTATGAGGTTAAGTGACTTGCTTGTGGGCACACAGTTAATGCTATCAGGCAGAATTAGAACCTAGGTGTCTTTTGATGAACATTTCAGTGTTTTTTCCATTATACGTCACTGGTTTTCTTATTATCACCATTTTTCAGATGGGAAAGATCTTAGAGAGAGAGGTCTGTGGTCAGATACCTGTTAAGTGTATGAGGTGGGATTTGAATCCAAGTCTTTTCTCATTTCTGTGTCCAGTACTACTTCCAGAACACCACACTGCATCCCAAAACATTATTCACTTTACTGTAAAGCAGAAGGGATTTCAAGATTTTATGCTTCTTTGGGGTCAGCATAGTGAACATCATTATAATTATAATGGCGAACTTTGGAAGTTGAAGTTAATTAAAGTTGATAGAAATTCTGAAAATCATGCTTTTTGTTATTTTTCTGGTATTGTCACTGATTCTTCTTTAAAACTGTGCTGTTGTTTTTTTTTAAATACTTTGTCATATTACCTTCTTACTTTCTTTTAGCCCCATCTGTTTTGATATGATTGAAGAAGCATACATGACGAAGTGCGGCCACAGTTTCTGGTAAGATACTTTTGTTTGTTGAAGTAGTGTTTTAGGAACTTCTAACTAAATTCATTCACTTTCCAGACTTACACATTGTTTATATTTCAGCAATTTCAAAGAATGGTAAAAGTCCAGTTAAAATGAGTAGTCTCTCTGAAATTACTAGATTTACCTTAATCCTGTAGATTGATTTAAAAACATTTCTGATCATGTCTTTCACCTCAAGGTAGTGATCATAGATAGCTTGAATATAAGTACTTTAACTTTTAATATAAGTAACTTTTATTGACATTTAGTGCTTTCAGAATTCTCATTTTATTTTAGGCTGAGTTATTTCTGTCAACTTGAGCCTTTACTTTGGAGTTTTTAACCTTTAGTTTCTACTTTGGGTTTCTAAATAAATTTTAATTTTCTGCAGATTTAACTTGATCTTGAAAATAGCATTCCCAAATTATCTAATTGTTTCCATAGCAATATAGTTTGGAGTTGTAAATTTACTACTCCTGTTTAAAGTTGGTAGGATGATAAATTGAAAACTTTTAAGTATTTAAGATGGGGTGGAGATAGGGAGAGGGAAGAAGCAATTTATTTAGTGTCTGTTATGTATCAGGCACTGTACTAAGTGCTTTACAAATATTATCTCATTTGATTGTGACAACAACTCTGGGAAGTAAGTGCTGTTATTTCCATTTTACACTTGAGGAAACTGAGGCAGGCAAATTAAGTGACTTGCGCAGGGCCACTCAGCTAGTTAGCATTTGAGGTCAGATCTTCCTGACTCTAGGTTCAGTACTTTATCCACTGTCCCACCTGGCTGCCCAGTGGCTTTTAAGCTAGAATCAAGAAGCAATTAGTAAGCCCCAACTGTGTGTCAGAAACTCGTAGTAGGTACTGATTGTTCTGAGACAAAAAATGAAAATCTTTACTTGTAAGGGGCTTAAATTCTAATTGGGGAGGCAGAGAGTATGTACAAGTATATAAAGAATAAATATAGAGAGAATGAATACCAATAAATACAAAGTAGTTATTCAAAGTATTTTGGGAGAAAATACATTAACAGAAAAGTTTTCTTATAGAAGTTGGTGCTTGACTTGTCTCTTGAAGGAAGAGAGGGATTGACTGAAGTGGAGTTGAGGAGGGAGTGTATTCCAAGAATTGTGAACTTCGTATGCAAATACCCAGAGCTTGGCAATGGAGCATTGTGTGAGGAACAGACAAAAGGCTAGTTTGGTTGGATTTCAGTATGTGGAGTGGGGGTAGGGGGGGAGGGGAATTAAGCCTCATGAGGCTAGAAAGATAGGTTAAGTACAGGTTATGAAGAGTTTTAAAAATGAAACAGGAGTTTCTATTTTATCCTAAAGGGAATTGGAATCTACTGGAGTTTATCAAATAAGAGAGTGATAAGATCAGTTCTGCATTTAAGGAAAATCATTTTGGCAGTAATGTATAGGTTGCTCTGGAGTGGGGAAGCACTTGAGATAGGTAGATGAGTTAGGAGATTGATTCTAGATGATTAGTGCTGAGGGCCTGAATTTAAGGTGGTAGTTGTGTGATCAGAGAGGTTAGATGCAAGAAATATCGTAGAGTTAGAAATGGCAAGATTTGGCAAGTGCTTGGTTATGAGAAGTGAGAGAGTGAAAGTGAGTTAGGAGTTAATGTCACTATTACAGTCCTGGAAGCCTGGAATAGGTATAGTGCCTTTGATAGAAATAGGGAAGTTTGGAACAGGGGTAGCTTTGGGAGTGGGAGAAAGATGAGTTCTATTTTGGATGTGCTAAGTTTTAGATGATTTTACACTGGCACATCCAGTGTGAAATGTTCAGTAGTCAATTTAATAGGGATATTGTCAAGATGAGAATTTAATCATGGGTGTTAATGAAATTTCCAAGATAGAGTGTATATATATAGGAAAAAAAAAGAATAGAAGGAAGGAAGGTTTACCAAAGATACAGAGCCTTGGGGAATACCTACAGTTGGGGGAGGCATGCCATATATCATCCAGAAAAGAAGCCTGAGGAGTGGTTAGGCAGGTGAGAGGAGAACCCAGAGAGAGTACTGTTAGGAAAACCCAGAGACAAGAAAGTAGGAGCAGAGCCAAATGCAGCATGTAGAAATTAAGAAAGATCAGGACTAAGAAAAGACCGTCACATTTGCCATTTTAGAGATTATTTATAACTTTGGAGAAAGCAGTTCTAGTTGGAAGCCAAATTTGAAAGGGTTGAGTGAGTAAGAGGAAAGGAAATGGAGGCAGAAGCTCTTTCTGAGAATTTGACTAAGGAAAGAAATGATATATGATAATGTCTTGAGAGTATGGTAGGACCTAGTGAAATTTTTTCTTTTTTTTCTTTAAGGTTAAAGGAGACAGGTCAGTTTAAAGTAATGGGCGAGGAAAGTATGAGAGAAGAAGGAGGTGTAGAGAGGAAGGTAGGAGGGAGAGGGAGAAGACAGGAAGAAAAAGGATAGAGATGGAGAGAGGTAAGAAGAGGGAGGGAGGAGGGAAAAGACATTGTGATTGTAATTGTAATCATGTAGGCAGAAATGGGATCCAAGGCACTGGTAGTATAATTGGGCGATGGAGGGAGTGGAAGATAATGTCGTGGGCTTTTAAGATGAATTGAAGAGGAGGTTAGAGGGCTTAAGTTGAATGGCTTCAGTTTTCTTTGTAAACAACCAGTCTTTGGCATTATATATATATGTATATGTATATATGTATATATGTATATGTATATATGTATATATATATATATATAAACATAATGGAAGTACATAATTATTTTTAGTTTGTATGATAATCTAATTTATTAATTTGTTGCAATATTGTATTTACTTATCTTGTTTCTGCCACTTTTTAGATTATATTTCATAAGGAACATATGAGATGTGTAAAACACTTTTCAAACTTTAAAGCATTTAAAATTTTAGCTATTATTATTATCAATATTATTACTGTTGTTAAACGGCAGTTGATGCCATATGTTTTAACTTTAACAAATATGTGCCTTTTCTGTGCAAGGCACTGTGATAGGTTCTGGGTTATAGAAAGATGAAAAATGATATAAGTACTTAAGGAGCTTGAATGAGTGAATGAAAAAGCATTTATTATGTATGTATTATGTGTCAGGAACTGTACTAAGCACTGGGGATACCAATGCAAAAATGAGATAATCCCTGTCCTAAAGAAGCTTATATTCAAATATTCAAAAAGGAGCAGGTAATAACATTGTATAGCACTTAGGCACAGTGGTTGGCAAATAGTAAGTTCTATATAAATGTTAGTTGTTGTTGTTATTGTTAAATTATTACTGCTATTACATATAGGGTAGTATGGTAGCCAAGGAAAGGTATTTTGGTCAGATAAGACAATAGGGATTGTAAATGAAAAAATGGAGCAGTTGACTGATATGTCATTTCTAGAAAGCAGTGGTAATGTTGCATTAGTACCAGAGCAAGAAGTAGAAAGTAGAAAGTGGGGTTGGAGGAGAGCCAGAAGATGGCTGAGTTGAAATATAGTTAGGCTGGTTAGATAAGGTAGGCTCTTGCCAATCAGAGTGGTGTAGCCCCAGGGTAGGAGTGCCATTCCTAAGTGACTTAGCTCCTCTACTATGATAGCACAAGGGAGAGGAAAAAATCCGGAATGTTTCTGTAGAGTTCTCTACGAAGAATAAGGAGATATGGGTTCTATAATCCGTATCCAGAGTAATATTTTAGAATCATACATGTAAAATTGGGAGGAACCTGTAGTTCCATCCCCTCAATATACAAATGAATAAATCGAGTGCCAGGAATGTTAAGTGTGTTATTCCATGGTCACACAAATAGTAAGCATCACAAGCAGTTTTGGAACCTAAGTCCTTTGATTCCAGAGAGCACTTTGCTTTCTGCAACGTTAGGGGCTAAAAAAACCTTTTAAATTCATATTGTCTTTCCTCTCCAACTTCTGCTGTCATAGTAGGGCACTTCAACATACATATTGGTACTCCCTCAAATATTTAACCTTCCAGTCCCTCAACTTACTCATTTCTTATGACCTACTTCTCCATTTTACCTCAGCTATACACAAAGAGAATCATATACCTTGATCTTTTTATCACCCACAAATGCACCACTTCCATGTTCTTTGAGCTTTGAAATTCCTTTATTTGATCACAATCTATTGTCATTCTACCACAACCTCTACTTTGCAACCCTACACCCTATTCTTTGTCCTCATCATGCTCTCCAGTCTCTCAGTCCCTCAGTTCTTTCCTAGGGCATCATCACTTCTTAAGTGACATCACTGTTCTCCTTTCCTCATCTTTTTTTTTTCCTCCTTTCCTCATCTTGACCCCTTGGTGAACCAGTTCAACTTCATGCTGTCATTTTCTCTCAGGACCCTTGCCCTCTTTTCATATTGCTGATTTTCCCCTGCCAAACCCCCACCTCAGATTATTCCCACCATCTGCTGCCTTTACTCCTTTGTACCTGCTGCTAAACAAAGCTTGAGAAAATCACCTAACTGTACTGACTGGATCCACTACAAGTTTATGTTACATAATCTCAACTGGGTCCTCCCTACAGTGAGGCAATCGTTTTACACCTTAATTGACTTACTATGCTACTCATGGTGGCTTTTCCAAACCTTTTATTGCTCCTCAGACTTTCCATTAACTTCCCCTACACCTATCCTTTCAGCTGCTTGCCTTATGTTTCCCTGAAAAAATTAAGACAATTAGCAAAGAGTTCTTTCTCCTCATTTCATCTCACTTTACTCAAATACTTTCTGTCACTATCTCCTCTTTCACATGTCTCATATGAAGAGGAGGCTCTTCTTTCATTTGTTAAATTAGAATGCTGTGACCAAGTGGTTGCAGTGGTTTCTTCTAGTTCTAAGATTCTGTAAGATTTTGCCTCAGATTTATGATATGCCTATAATTTAAAAAAATAAATAAAAATGACTTTGAGTTGGTGGGTGAGTGGGATGAGTATTATTTGAGAATAAGAAGAAAAATTTAGAATTTCAGAGTGACAGTCTAATCTTG